AACATCCCTATTCCCTGGTGACGTATAGTATTGTTTCATCTGGATAATATGGAAAATATTTTCTTTCCATTATAAAATGCTATTTTGTGGTGGATATGTTATTGCTGTATTGATCAGCCTAAATAAAACAAGATGAGATTGTTAAAAGAACATTAATAGCAGAAATGGATACCACAAAAATAAAACATGCAAAACATATATATCTGGAACAGCAGTTTAACGTCTGAGAATTGAACCAATCAATGATTTCCATCTTTGAAGACAGGGTCTACTTTACACAAAGATATGCAAAATGCTTTGCAGCAAAATGTAGCCTAGGGAGACAGTGAAAGCCTTTTAGAGAGATCTATAACAGCAACTCATATACAGAAAAGTGAACATTACCATGCAGCAACATAAAAGAAACTCAATTCAGAAGGCATTACCAGTACAAATAGGTATATACTTTAGGGAAGAATGAAACTGCATAATTATTTTTTAAAATATATACATATATCTTAACACAGTTTTCAGGTTGCATCTATGGTATTCCAAATTTCTTTTCTCTAGTCCATTTCCAAACTGTCTGTAGCCCTGGGTTCATAGGAAGTGGTAGGTGGATAAAATCAACAAAGTTGTAGGTGTTTGCTTGACCATTCTTGAAAGGAAATCTAGGAAATTGTCTGGTCTGAGAACCCTTCTTTTTGGGAGCACTTTGTTTGTAGTTAGATCAATACCCAGGACTGAACAAGCAGATACATTGTGCTGAATAAATTCTGACTGTCCTAACCTTGGGATGCAGAAGAGGTTAATAGGGGTGGGTGTCTGGAGTCCAGTCTGGGGGAATTGCACCTTGGCCAGAGTTGCTAAGGGTAACTCAGTGTAAATGACTATACTTTTAGAAGTTGCCATATTTTAAGAGCCTGACATGTATTTCTTCAGCATATTAATAACCAAATTATTACTTGGGCAAGGATATTCTCATTTGAACTGAAGACAGAAGGATAAGATGTTCAGTCAAAAAAATTATTTGTATTTTCCAAAATATCTTGCAAACTTTAAAGAAATTTCTGTTAAAGTTTTTTTCTATCTCATACATAGTCTAACTCACAGAAAATTAGAGATCCATCTCTACCTCAAGGAAATCAAGTTTTTTTTGATCGTCAGTAAGAATAATATTATGCTAATTAAAAAACTTTTCAGTAATACAGAGATGGATAACACTGTCATGATGGTGCTTTATTTCTTACTCTGCTTTTTAAATGAACTGTATTTATTGAAGTGAAAATTATTTACCCTTTAATAATAACATTTTTAGCTATGGTTGTCAATGGTGAAGTGTCTGCACTTGCTTATTATTTGCAGATCTTTATTTCCAATTTTGTGCACTAGGTTTCTCAGCTCTTTTCAAAACTCACAACTGATGTCAGCAGTGTCAAAAAAAAAAAAGAAAAAAAGAAAAAATTCTCTTTTTTTAATAGCAATAATTTCTAGTAAAAGGGACCAAAATACAACAAAAATACAGCTGTCAGATAATTGAATGTGTCTCTAGAGGTGAAACTAACCCTGAAAAAATGAATGACATTATCAGCCATAACTATTGTAGAAAGAAAATAAACCAAAAACATATTAAATCTGCAAGAAAGAATTAACATTCTCTGTGTCTTTTATGAAAATACCCTACAGCTTTAGTATATTGAGAATATGCATTGTTAAAGACTACAGAATAATCTTTCACTATGTCCACTGAAGAACACTGCTTTTCCAGACAATATTAAATGTTCATTCTTTTCCAATTATTAAAGATAAATATTAGTGATAAGACTTGGACTGGCAAAAATAATTGCAATAAAAAAGGTGCTTGAGAGATATTTTCATCCTTTCTAAAGGATTCTGAAACTGATATTAGTCCCGTTGCCTGTGATGCCCATTGTCATTACTTGTACTTCTATTATCTTTGCTTTTAATTTACATCTCTAGGAAAGTGATCTTTGCTTTCTTTCAGATCATAATTTTCATTAGGCTTTTCTTGTTTCATGGTCAGTCAATGTCCTTACCACTCCCCTTGAATTTTTTCCAATATTTAATTGCATTGTGATACCAGCAATCTTATTTTTTTCCAGTTACTATATTCCATTATAAGGTAAATTTTATGCAAACGTTTTAGCATTCAAAAAAGTTGTTAGTCAATAAAGAAAAAGTGTGAAGGCTTGTCCACACACTAAAACTAAGTATGGCAATTTTTAAACAAATTCTCATCCTGTTCATGAAAACCACAATAACTGTGGGTTAAATCCAATACAAATACTTAAAAAGCAGGCATAGCAACCATAATGCACATTTCCAGAGTGAAATTTGAGAGAGGTTTTCTGTAAAAATGTGAAAAATATCAATCTGTTCATCTTCTAGAGACAGCAGTGGTGTATTGCACAATCTCACTGGGTCTTGTTTTTCCTTTTTAGGATGTTCAAATGCCTTAAGCATAAGAGTCACCTAAAGAAAGATCATTCACAAAGCTATGGATAAAACTGCTGCTTAGAGGGGAAGGGGCTTTGACGCAGAAATGGTTCTTTACATAGACCAGGGAACACATCATGAACTAAATATTTGGTCTTGATTTCATGGATCTAGCTAACATTTTGATACCCAAGAAGTCTCCTGGTTTATTTGTGTAGTGGTCCTCCTTTGGGTCCAGTCCTAACAGCAGCCATGTGGGAAAAATGACCGATGCAATGTTTTGGGTTTTTTAGAAAACTTCTTATTTCTGGACCATAGACACAACAGCACACATTAGTTAAGAAAACTATCCTTCTGTACCTTGTGCTGGGGGAACAGATTGTGATGTTTGTGAGAGTGTTACCTGCAGGAGCTCACCTGAGCCCTCGACTCACCTCCCAGGGCTTTGCCTTCTGCACTCATGAGCTTTAGCTCTGTGAATAAATTTCACTGTGCCTAAGCAGAAAAGCTGTTGACTAGACTGTATCATAGAGCTCTCAGAAAACTTCTATTTAGTCTTAGATGCTGGCAATTCAGCTCTTTGATGTTTACACAATTTTAAGATAAGTCTGCAGAAAGGTAGAAACAGCTCTGAGGGGCTCAGAACTGCCTGTCACTGAACAGACACATGCAGTACTCTGCACTGGCATTTCCAAGGGATTGGTGGCTGGAGGCCACATGTATTGTATTTCTGTAGCCCAGTAAAAGAGGTGACAAAATCAAGTACAAACGAGGCCAGATCCCAGCTGCCAGGATGAAATGGAGACCTCCAGTCACCTGGAGATGGTAAGTTATTTGAGGATGTTACTATGTGTAAGCTTATAGCTGTACTCAGAAAGGGGTACTATCTTCAGCAGTCCTAGTCAAGGAACAGCTTTTTTTAGGGAGACAAAGATGGGAAGCCTTTTTCTCTAACAGACAGGAATGATCTTGAGCATGCATCTAGGAAATGGAAAAGCCCACTCAAAATTTTTTTACTTCTCAGGCTTGTGAAGCATGTTTGAATTTGGGTCTTTTCACGTCTGTGTGGCTGAGTTAACCTGTAAGATACCATATTCTGAGGAATCACCAGCTCCTTGCTTATTTCCTTCACACCAAAGATAGAAGTCCCTCTGAGGAAATATCTCCAGAGCCAGGTGGTGAGCTCTGAATAGTGAGGAAAATGTTCCAAACCAACAGTTAGATACTCAGCTCCTTGGATGGAAAGCTTTTAGGTCCAAACAATCATCTCACCTCATCATTTCCAACTGACTAATTTAAGCAGCTTCCACCTTATTTGGATGGCTTCTCTGAATTCTGTTTCTACAGACAGGTGTCCCAATGCAAAGGGTAAGGCCTGAGTGTGTCACTGATTTCCAGAGAAGCAGGGATTGCAGTGCTGAGCATGGTGTTGTCCATAATCTTTTTGTAGGTTAAGCCTTCCCAGAATCTCCATGGTACTTCCAGCCTGGCCAGCTACACTGGCCCATGGTGAGAAAACACCTTCCCTCCATGTATCTAGCAACCCTGCAGACAATGCTGCAGAGCTTCTGACTCTGCACCCCCTGTAAAATTAACAATGCATTTCTCTCTTTCGGAGAAGAGAAAGGGTGGTTCTGAACATTTTACAATTCTTACTGATGGAGTAAAGAGATGGAATGTTTTCCTTCACTGTCTAAGTTTTCTTAAAGTGAAGGATTGTCCACAGAAAGATGATTCATCCTGGTCTTCAAGCATATTAATTCCTTGGATGCCTTATTGAGATTGACAAAATGTGTCATTAAATAGAAGCCTGATCCAGTTCCAATTAACTTCAGAGAAAAGTGTACTGTGATCTCAGCAGTAACTGGGGTGATAGATTCTTCAATATAGGCATTTACCTCTTGAGAAATTGATGAATATCAAATTCAGATCACATAGGACTGGTTCCACATCCTACTATTCTCAAACTTTGCTCCATATGGAGAAAAAACACACCCTAGTTTTGAAAAGCTTTACATCCTATCATCAATAACTCAGGCCTTCTAATAAACTTTCATTTTGATGTTATAGAAGTTGAACTTAAGTTTTATGTTTCAGTATAACAATTTCAATATCTATAAAGATTTATATTATAAATCTTATTTACTTCACTTGTCTGTTTAAAAATTCAGTGATAACTAAGTACTTTTCCTGAAGACTCAGAATCAGCGCTTATTTTAGAGTCCTGTGTTGGCACAAGATAAAATGCTTTTATGGCACCTCATTATTTCTTACTAAATATTCTTTCCATAATATTTCATATTACTATTTCTGATTTTTATTTCTATCCAGACATACGTGTAACTCCTTGACATTAACAGGAGTCCACAATGAAGGGCAAGGATGTAGATAATATTTCTGTAATTCTATTTTTTATGATAATTTTTTTAAAATTTCTAGGTAATAATGGAATACTCAAAAATTCTCACAGAGGAGCAAACAGCACTTGGGTTTCTTTTATACCACTAGTTAATTCTTAAAATGGTTATAAAGTCTTTTTCTCTATAGTAAAGAAACTGACCAACCTTTTTTCATGGAAGGTTCCACTTCACCTAAACCAAGAGAAAAAACCAAATGTCAGAGAAAAGGTATTAAAAAAAAAAAAACCACAACACATTTTTCTTGTGTTTTCTCATTTTAATTTCAAACAATAATTACTCTTTTTTATATGCTAAATGATAAGCATCTATTCTGAGATTTTGAAATTTTCCTAAAGAATCTCTTACCATAGAGTTTTGGGCAGATAACTTCAAGGTGCAGCAGTAACTAAGGAAAGATCAAAATCTGGGTTTGTGCTTCTGAATATCAACGTGTTACTACAATTTACAATTTGCTTTATTTTATGCATGTTTCCATGTTTTAAGGAAAGGCCCAGTGATGCGGTTTTAGTTCCAAATGACACAATGTATATGCAGTTTAGGAAGATTGTAAATCTAGCAATGCTTCCAGTGAAATCCAAGACAAAAAAAGAAATAATTTCAGTGGAACTGTGAACACTTAATTGCTGCAGTATGTTGTTCCACCTCCATGTAGGACATAACAATTTAAAGGACTCAGCCTGAATGACTGTGGCTAGTGTGCAGCCTCAGCTGCACTAACTGCAGCATAGAGTTCACATGCACTTAGTTTTTGTTATATAATGTTAATATATTTATTATATAAGATGCCTTACTGCCTTTTCATACTGCTGTTTGATATTGATGAAGTTCCACCTGGGCCAAAAGCTGCTAGGACTAAGGTCTCCAAATACCTAGTGAGCATTCAGATCTTGCATTTTTCTATGTCAGGTATTTTATGACCTTTCATACTACCGATAACACTTACACACTCAAGTATTTGAAAGCTTGCACGTTCTTTTGGAGCTATTAAACTACATGAATGAACCCTGATCAAATTTTACCAAATTCTCCATATTTCATCTTTTCTGTTTCTCAATGATATGAGATACTTTCTGCTAGATGTAAATCATATCTCAGAATAAGATGCCCAATTCACAGACTCACATGTAGCAGCCTATTAGTATTCATATATGATGCTAATGCAAAATGCTCATGAACATATTTAAAAGCTAGAAATTTGATGGCATCTCAAGTTTATGAACAAGCAGATAGAATTCAGTTTCAGTACATGTTGCTTTTTAATGACATTCTGGTAGAGCCAAATATAACATAAAAAGAACTACTGTGAAATGAAGATGTCATTCCTACTCTCACTGCTTGTCAAAATGACCAGTATGATATGACACGATGATCCACTACTCTCTGATCTTACTGGGGAAGCAACTGCGTTTTTTTGGGGATGTTTTAAAGGTTGGGTGTTTGGTGGTGTGTTGGGTTTTTTTATTATTTTTTTTTATTATTATGTTTTTATTAACAGAAGGATAGTTATTTCCAAACTCACGATGTTAGAAGTTTACTTTCATTTATTAGATGATGTCAAATGTTCTACCATCATGGCAGAACCATAATTTCTAGTAAACTGAATTATTTACAATATGCCATCCAAAATCCCCTGTCTTCAGACCAAGTGCTTTTTTTTTTGCTTCAATATATTGTCCTATCATCAATATGGCAAATAAAAAAAGACATAAGTTTCTTGATCCACACTGTATATTTACCAGGGTTCTTTAGATACTTGCTGATTAAAAGAAAATAGCTCCATTCTCTGAAGCATTATCCCAATGCATATTTTGGTTGTGGCTTTGAAGTCTTATATAAATTAATGCTCTTTACTTTAAGATGTACTAATGGCAATATTTAATTCTGACAGCTTTTCTGTAATGGTACAATAAACATGAGATGAAAGTTAACAAAGAGACCAATTTACTGATTGGAATAGCCAGTAGATGCTTTATGAGCAACAATGTTACTTTTCATTTTGTTTGACCTTGTCTGTGAGGTTAAAAACTAAGCCAACATAATGCATGTAAAACAATAGAGCAGAATAGAAGTCTTTACATTACAGATACCTTCATCACTCTCGTCATCGTCATCACTCCATACGATGTCAGATAGTAAAGAAAAAAAGCCATAAATCCAATCGGCGGATTCTTCCAGTGTCTCATGAATGATTCTCAGTGGTTCTGTGCTGAGCTTGTTAACAGATTTTCCTGAGTGCAGAGTTTAAAACAAAAGTGGTTTCAAAAAAAACCCAACAAACAATTCCTTCAGTGATAAAAGTTAATCTTCACTTCATACAAGACTAATGAGACTACCTCTTTTAACAGAAACAAGGATTGTGAATGTTAATTTTTATTATTAGAGGATTTGAGGACAGCTCTCCTTCCTGTGCAAGACTGGTATAAACTGTATCCTATTGCACTTGCTATTTCGCAGACTAATTAGGGACTCCGTATAATTTGGTCTGATGCTGTGCTCCAGGTTTTGCCTCTCCTTCTGAGGCTTGACTGATCTTTTCTATATCTTGATGCTTGTTTAGGATTCATTGCCATCAATTTCCCGCTCCTCATGTCACATCTACCCCTCAACCCGTTTCCTTAGACAAGTTCTGGCTAAGGAAATTGCTGAGTCCTGATTTATTTACTTTGTTTATTTTCATTGCCTTCAAGCATTAAGATATAGAGATTTAATTTTTTCAACTGATTTTCCACAAATACTCTTCTCAAGCGTTTACCAGGAGAATGAATAACTATATTTAGGCTATTAAAAAGTAAATCTATGACCCAAGCCTCACTTCATGCGGAGGAGTAAAAATGGACTAATAGAATGGGTACGACCAGAAGTGTCTTAGCATAACTGAGGTTTTGATTCACAAGCAGGGATGGTTTAACTTTGGACAGTTGCCTTGATTTCCACTGTGGATATCTACCCTCCTTTTATCCACTGGTTGCTCAGGGAGGGTGCAGTTGCTTTTGCAGCCACAGGTTTTTACAGCCACAGGCAGTAAAACTAAAACTGAAAACTAAACACCAACTGGTATCAATTTATTTGAATATACTGATCTATCAAGCAGCAGTTCAAGAACTTCTTCACAGGTAGCAGAGCTGTCCCCCCTGGGCAGACAAGGGAAATGCTCAGAGAAGAGCAAGAACAAGAGCTGAGGAAATCATTCCAACCACCCCAAGGCAAGCCATCTTTGCTGATGAATCAGTCTTCAACATCATATCCTGGTCTTTAATTCATAACATCTTCATGCCCCACTAAGAAAAGGTATTAGAAATTATAAGTCTCTGGAGGCAAAATTTTCTAGCCATACCCACACTAACAGGCCCAAGTTGCAAATCCTGTTTAGTATACAAAGTTTAGAAAAATCAGTTTGGAGCTGTATAGATGACACTTTATTGGTATTTGCAAAATGAAATTTTGTGTTCAAACAGATATTTTGATCTCACTTGTGGCACAGGCCTGGAAAATTATCTGCTGTGCAGATCTTGTTTAATTTGTTCTATTTCCATCATTTTTTAATTGTAGTACTAACAGTAATGATGTGTCCTGAAATTCTGAAGAACACAATAGCAGCTAATGCTGAAGTGAAAATTACAACTGATTAAATCCATGATTTTAGCTCTTCTCATAACTTTGACAATGGGTTCTACTAGGTCCCTAGTAGAACAAAACACACTAGAAAAAAAAAAAAAATTAAACAGTTCTCAAGTACAGAGAAAGATTCCATTTATCTCAAACACATGCAAAGAAAGACAACCATTTCCAGAAGAATTGCATATTCTTGCTTCAGGAGTGAAGCTGAAAGAATGCAGATTTTCATAACAAAGTTTGAGCTTGATATTTTCATGTAATTTATTTTTTTATTTATTTATTTACAGATGTCCAACAATGGAACAGTATGATGTGGTTTTTTACAATAGTTTTGTATTCAATATATTCAGACTGGATTAGCTACCTCCTGTCTAATTTTTCATTTCTTAGTAAACCTTAAAACACTAATTATTTTTAAAGTAAGGTAATTTTTTTTTGTTGTTAGCATATGTTATATAGTATGTAATATATAATTTGTAAATAATCTATAGCTATAAACTATAATTAGTATATGACGTCTCATCTATAAACTATTGTGCTGGGAGTGGAAGGGGCAGGATCTTGAATTTGAACTGTAAAGAGCTTTTATGGATACAAAGTATTTCTCAGATAGACACAGGCTGTGAAACTCTACCTTTTGCTGAACTTCTAAATAGTGACCGAGCCAATTAAATGCCTGTTGAAGGAGCAAGGAGGGGAAAACAAGTAAATGGATACTCATGAGGTTAAGCTTAGGTATGAAACACGTAATTAATATTGAAGAATTTTTTTGGCAGTATGTAATTTCCTTTCATCAGAGCTTTAAGTTTAGATTATCCTACCTAGGCAAATGTACCTGAAATGGTATTGAATCCCTGGTGGTTTCTAGACTCCCTCAAAAGCCAGTGCAGATAAATATATTGTAAACTTCTGAAGGCAAGTCTCTTGCTTTCCTCTGAAATCTTTTTTAGGGTTATATGAATTAATTTCCAAAGATGTCCATTCCTTTCCATTGACTAGAAAGGAAAGCAAGCCTGAAAAATTAACATGGTTATGACACCTTATTTTCATATGACTGAGGTATGTGTCGTGGATGCTATTTCGTATTTAAATCCCACTTTTCATTGTACATTTAGGTTAAGCACTTAGATCTGTAACTTTACACTCATAATTAATTCCAAGTCAGTACAACTATTTACCTTGATAAATTACTTACTCTCTGCAACAATGGTGCCAATAGAAATACTTGGCTAGAACATTTTGTTTTGTCATTTTTTTTACTACTTGGTACAGCATAAGAGATGTTTTGTGGATCAATAAAAGCTTATCTGTACTTGTGTTAGCATATTCATGCATATGAGAATAATTTACAGTTTTGCCTTTTTGTTTTCAGTGGGAACTCAAAATTCTAAGTCCAGAACTTTCTGGAAAATGCTGAAATTTGTAAGAGTTAAAGCTGACAGAGAAAGAATCCCAAACTGAAGGAGTTTGTATGCTACTTTTCGACAAAAACTCAGTTGTATTTGGATGCAGAAAGTTTTTTACCTTCTGTAGATATCTGCACAACAATTTGGAAGCTTGTCTGGATTTTCTTTACTAAAAATATGGAAATTTCTTTAAAATAATTCTTTAAGAAATAATTTTAACTCCCTGTGTAATTTGAAGCTTGCACATCAACTGCTACAATTCTTTGTAGCTCTGTAGCATTATTGGTACAGAAACAGTAATTTGATTAAAATGTGAGAACAAGAATTCTGAACAATGAATTTCTTCATTTTTGAAGTCTCAAATCACAATTTTAATTCCAATTGATTTGAAAATCGAATTCATAACTTTAGTGATAATTAATATCTCACGCTTAACACAGTTCCTTGAAACCAACCAATGACTGACTTCTCAAGTCCTGCAATTGGCTTTAAGTGCGTTCTTGGGATGGAAGATAATTTTCATAAAGTCACAAAGTAACTTCAGTAAAATTGTTGTATGTTTGAACAGAAGAATACTTTGTTTCATCAAAACTGATAATGGGTCCTTTAAAAGTGACTTTTGGAAACAAGAGATGAGTAATCACATGGTATGATTTGCTGTTGCGCCTCAAGCAAATTTGGTTTTGTTTCATGGTCTGTGTCATCTATTCCTATGAAGTGCACTACAATAAGTGACTAATGGATTTATCTGTGCAAATTACTTCAGTCATTATTCCAGTCTTAATAACTCTACCATAAATATAGTCTCCTATCAATCCTTTTTGCTTGCCAAATGGTTAAATACAAATTCTGAGTTCGACTTATGTTAAAGTGTTCTTTTTTTTTAATGAATTGCAGTAAATTAGTTAACAATTGTTAGATTTTCATCAATTACATATTTTGACTTCAGTGAATTGAATGCAATTAAATTACAAATGATGGTAATTATCTGGTGCAAAGATTGATCTATGAGATATAAACTACTTCATTGATACTGACAGGGTACAGATGATGAAGACAGAATTTGTGTCATGTTTGATAAAATACAAAAGCCTAACATTAGTTTGTGATAAAAAATATCCTAGTTTTAGTAAAGTATTTTCTTTTAAATATAGAGACCTATATTCTAATTTAGAAGTTTTTACACTTTTAAGTTTAGCAGTAATAGAACTTTATTTCTACAGTGTGAACTAACAATACAAACTTATAATCTTCCATTATTAATATTCCAGTTTATCAACATAGATGTCCTTAGGTCTTATCTTTCTGTTTCATAGACTAACATTTTTGTCAAGCTTATAGCACTAAGTTTAAGCACCAGAAAAAAACTTAGATGGGTGTCATTGAAATATAAGTATAAAAATAATGATTTAATTTTTACACTTATAAATATATTGAATTATTGTATATATAAAAACAATGTAGAAGAAAATGCAGACTCAGCATTTCCCAGTATTTTCCATTTTATAAGTACTTATATTGTAAATATGAAGACTACAGCCTATAGTCTAAATATTCTCTGTCTCATTCTAATGTCAGCCTTAGATAATTGGATGAGGTTAAATTCATAGAAAACCTCACCTGAAAGTGGACAAAGAAGCAGTTATAACTAGAACCTACTTACCAAAATTTAGGAAGAAATTCACAAACTGTCATAAAGTAATTTCAGGTACTTTTGATATAGTGGTACACGCGGACAGGAGTATGTGTTTAGGACGGGCTTAAGTTGTAATTTATATGGTTTGATTTGGTCTCAGCTGGAAGGTTTTGATTTGATGGGTAAGACCCTTGTTAGGTGGTGTTTTCTGAAACAGACAAACATTTTATCTAAAATAATTTGGGGCTTTATCTTTTCCTCATTCTATGGGTTCAGTTTTCTGACTAAGAACACAGATCTTAACTTCAGGTTAAAAAGATATTAATAATTGTACAATGGCATTTTTAAAGGGCATTTAAAGTGTAAAATTAGTATCTCAGCTTGACACCATTTCCTGTGAATCTCCTGACTGGAGTCATCTCTTAGGAGCCAGGTCAAGCACAATGGTGAAATAGGCTGTTGCAATGAACTTTGCAGCCCCAGCCATCCAGAGTTGGGGTTAGCTGAGAAGCAATGCTGCCACGTCCTGGCACTCTGCTTGTGCCCATGCTTTGTTATCATTGCACACACG